TTTGATATTCCTCTCAGCCCAGGTTGGCCATGACAGGCAGGATCGGAAGCCCACCTCCTGAATTATCTAAATTGTGTCAATGGGGTCATTGGGAAACAAATTGTAATCCTTGTCAATGTTATAGTTTTTCAATAAGGTTTTCAGTGTGGAAAGAAATAGTTGTCAACATTTCGCTACCTAAGAATTATAAAGTTCTCTCATGACATTTTTGGCCGTTTTGAGTTACTAAGACCATGAGATCAGAAAACCAAATGATCTATCTGCTATATCAAAATCATAAGATTATTCGGAGTCATTATCAAGATATTCAATTAATTGCTTTCGAAAAAGCTTGACATGTTGAGAAACTCAAAAAATTTAATGTCAAATTTCTCAAAACTTAGTACTGAGTTGATAGAACTTTGTCATTCTGAGGTAGCGTGTTAGTCACTAAGGTTTTCAGTGAGGAAGATAACACAATGTATTTGTCACTGAGATTTATTTCTTGCTTTGTCTCCCCCCCCCCCCCTTTCCCTACAGGTGTCGAGTCGACTGACCGTGTCCATCCACCCAGCCTCTGCCCTGTTCCACTGTAAGCCCGCGTGTGTGGTCTACTCCGAGCTCATCAAACTGGGCAAGAACTACATGAGGTGAGGGAAGACTGTGCTAGGAATGCTGCTTTGTGGCTATATCTTAAGACTTCCTAAAGCCCTCCGGGGCAGTGCCTCTGACTGAAGTGTCTTTAGGCCAATCCCAAAGGGGGACATTAACATGTTCTTATGCACAGTAGAATTGTAAATGGGCTGATTCATCAATGTTATGCTCATAACTGTGCCTGAACTGCATACGGGGAAGTGATGCTTTTTCTTTCCTAATCCTTACTATCGTCCTTTTTCCTCTACTTCTTTTGTATGTTTGTCACTCTCTTGTGACCCGCTATTTGCAAGGTGCCTTGATAGTCGAAGCAAGCTTTGTGCTGTTAAAGCTAGAGAGGTGAGCAGAGTAAGCCTGATTCCCTGTAAGGACTTCTCTGTTGACATCCACTCCTTGGAGCTTACATGACCTTATGCAGGTGCGAGCGGCTTAAAAACTCTTCTAAAACTAAAAAACTTGTTGGTGAGAAAAATGGCCATCTTAGACAGGTGGACATCTTACTTACACAGTGTTGTTTTAATGTAAAAAAAAAATGTAAGGGAAGGAATGGGAAGGTCTGTTTGTACAGGTGATTGTCTTATACAGGTGGCCGCTAAGGCAGGTTCAACTATAGTTTGTAAAAGGCAAAGTAGAGTAAACCCCCCCCCCCCGGGGCAGTGCTACTGACTGAAGTGTCTAAATGCCATTCCCAAAGGGGGAACATTACCATGTTCTGTTGCACAGTAGAATTGTAAATGGGCTGATTCATCAATTCAGGCTCACAATTGTGCCGGAATTGCAACAGTTACTGCTGCTTTTTCTTTCCTCATCCTTACTATCATCATTTTCTTCTACTTCTTCCGTATGTTTCTCACTCTCTTGTGAACCGTTATTTCCGGGGTGCCTTGATATTTGAAGCAGACTTTGTGCTATTGAAGCTAGAGAGGTGAACAAAGTAAGCCTGATTCCCCGTTTGGACTTCTCTGTGGACATCCACCCCTGGGCGCTCATTTGACTTTATCATACTTATGCAGTTGCGAGCGCCGTAAAACCTCAACTAAAACTAATACTAAACAAAAGTAAAGAGGGCCAACCATTGTCGGTGAGAAAAATGGCTGCCTTAGACAGGTAGACGTCTCATTCAGTTTCATTTAAATGTAAAAAAAAACGTAAGGGGAGGAATGGGAAGATCTGTTTGTACAGGTGATTGTCTTATACAGCTAGCAGTTAAGACATGTTCAACTATAGCTTATAACAGATCCAATAGAGTAAGATGATGATCTGTGTGACAATAGTGGTCAAGTGGTGTAGACGAGGCTAGACGAGGGTAATCCTTGACGCGTGGGTGGTTGGCGGATGTTCTGGTACGGTGTGGTTTGCTCCTTCTTTTCTACCAAACATCTTTCGTCCTGATCTCCCCTTCTTCTTTTTTATGTTTGTTACTCTCTTGTCACACCTCTAATCTTCTGACACTCTTATGACCTTATGCAGTTGAGAGTGCCGTAAAACTCTTACTAAAACTAAAACTGTGTGACAATAGTGGTCAAGTGGTGTAGGCGAGGCGAGGGTAATCGTTGACGTGTGTCTATATGCTCCTCCCCACAGGAATGTCAGCGTGGTGGACCCCGAGTGGCTTCAAGAGGTGGCTCCCTCCTACTTCAAGCAGAAGAAAGTGCACTTGATGACCTAGCTGGTGTGTGTGTGTGTGTGTTTGAGAGAGAGAGAGAGTGTGTGTGTGTGTGTGTGTTTTTGAGAGAGAGAGAATGTGTGTGTGTGTGTTTGAGAGAGAGAGAGTGTGTGTGTGTGTGTTTGAGAGAGAGAGAGAGAGTGTGTGTGTGTGTGTTTGAGAGAGAGAGAGAGTGCGTGGGTGTGTGTGTGTTAGTGAGAGAGAGAGTGTGTGTGAGAGAGAGAGAGAGAATGTGTGTGTATGAATGTGTGTGTGTGTGTGTGTGTGCATGTGGTAAGTTTGCGTGCAAATGTGTTGTTGAGCCTCTTATGTACTCTTGAATACCTCAATGCATTTTTTGTTGACCTGGGTGTATCTGGTTGTGAAGCCCGAGTGCGTGTTTTGTGAGTCTGAAGATTCTAACTTGTAGTATGCGTGCAAGACAGTGCGTGTGGTGTGTATGCAAGCCAGTGCGTGTGGTGTGTATGCAAGCCAGTGTGTGTAGTGTGTATGCAAGCCACTGTGCTCCTTTGTATGTGTGAATTTGTTGTAAAAAGTACTTGGGCGAAGAAAAAGATACCAGCTGAGGAATATACTATATAGTGATAGGTAAATGTCTTCAAGCTCAAATTGTACATTCCTTTACGTTTTTTTTTCCCTTTTACTTTTTGAGATAAAGAAGGGGGAAAAAATTAGACGCCTGAGCTTTTTTCTGTTTCCAGTCCCTGAATATTTTAGCTACACTGTCTTCTGTTGTTTCCTAGTCAACTGCAAACATCATAATTTAAAGAACATTAACAAATTAAAAGCTTTGTTTGTATTGCATTTCAAGCTTATGCTTAGTGGGGAAAATATTTTTTGTACTTGGATTTTGATAAGGTGACTTTCTGATATGAGCAAATGTGCTTTTTACAAGTTCACAAAATTATATAGGAGCACAGTGACTTGCATACATACAGTAGTCTCCGCCTAAGACCCTCAAACATATGTGTGTCATGACACGGTAGAATGAGGCGCTCGTCAATTTTTAGCCATATGGAGTTATTGGTATCATCGCCAAACTAGTTTATTTGTCTTGCTTTAGGACTTTAGGTGAAAACACACCCATGTACCTTGAATAAAAGTGGAGTTATTTATGATTGAAGGGGGTGGGGGTCGCCTGTTGTCAGAGGTAAGATTAGCGAGAAAATGGCCGCCAGTGTTTGGTTACTTCCAAAGCTTGAGTGTCCTTAAAACCTGCACATTTTCTTTTTATGGTTTTCCTCAACGTTTTTCGGTAGAATCCACCCGAAAGTGTGTTTTTAAGTGGACGTAAAGAGTGTTGAGCTGCAAAAAGAACATTCGACAAAAATTAGGCAAGGTGCAGAAAAATGCTGGTTTCTTTGATTTAACCCTTCCAGCCTCAAGAACGTATATTTTCAGCAGCGCTTGTGCCTCCCACCGTCCCAAGAGCGTATATTCTCAGTTTTTGGGTACCGAATTTTTGCGCAATTTTCGAAATTAGGGAACCTAATTAAACTTTAATCTTCATAGTATTTGTACATTTACCTTTAAACATTGTTTTATATTATTATCTAAACCTCATTACAAAGATACTACATCACTTTTCAGAATGCTTGCCTCTTTTTCTGATTTACTGCTGTATTGGCTGGGACTGGGGTCAGGGAGTGCACAAAATGCCTGGGGCTGGAAGGGTTCATTATTTTGACCAGCGCCTGATTTCACCATGCTACCTCACATGTGTATTCAATGATATGTACAGTTATGTACATGATTGTTTACCTGTTTGTTTTTGTCAGAGAAGTTTTGAGGGGTTATTGGAAATTATTTTTGCATTAAAATATGCGTCATGTCACAAGTGTGTTCTGTGTTGGACTTTTTTTGTTGCAAGTTTTTAGTTTTGTCAAATTGTGAATGTCACAGTGGGTGGTTGGCGGGTGCTCTGGTGTGGTTTGCTTCTTCTTTCCTATCAAACATCTATCGTCCTTATTCCTCCTTTTTCTTCTTTTTTGTGTATGTTACTCTCTTGTAACACTTCAAATCTTCGGCACTTATTTGACCTTATTGTGTTGCAAGTGCTGTAAAACTCTTACTAAACCTGAATGTCACTGACTGTGCTGGTTTGGAAAGCTCAGAATCTGACATCACCGTACCATATTAACCGGAGTAAAGGACATTTTGTGGCCTAATTTTGTTCAAGTTAAATGCTGCTTGCAATCTATGCTTCTTTAAGAAAGAGCAAACAAACATTTTCCCTCTCATATTTTTAGCGCGCTCATATGACCTTATGCAGTTGCGAGCGCCGTAAAACCCCGTACTAAGCTAAAAACCACTAATTTTTTCCAAGTTTGGACCTTTGTGACCCCCCTATCAAGATGTCAATAATTTGACTAATGGAAAGCTGTAGTTTGAAACTACAAAACGTGTGCTGTGGAATACACCCAACAGTCTTCCCCACCACCTCTGCAAGTGGTGCAAGCACGAGAAATAATGTACCATAGGTATATTATCATAGATACAGTCACACCTGCTCTAACAACCACCTGTCCAAGACAATCACCAGTACAAATTACCACTTCCCACTTCTCTCTTTTTTCTATACGTTACAATGACACTGTCTAAGGGTGTAAACACTTGAAGAAAGTGCAACCATTTTCGAACTGTGCTCGTCTCAGCACTTGTGTCGAGAGGTAAACAAGACGAGCAAAATTGTTGTAGTACATTTTACACAAAAATCGGCACACGGGTTCGAGAGAAAACGAATGAACTACTTTACTACGGAAGGGGCCGTTTCTTGGCTAAACAATTATCTATAAATAATAATATACATGTATCAATGAAGAAAGAGCAGGAACAAACGGGTTATTGGGTTGCTTTGATGGCAAATATAGGCGGATGGTCGATGGATAGAGATATAGATTCGTGGACTGAAGAGAGAAAGAAACAGATAGATAGACAGACATAGAAAGAGATGGAAAGAAATGGATATAAGTGTACAGGTGTGTGTATGTGATGTTGTAGTTTGTAGATCCAGTTGAAGTTGAAGTGTACGAAGTGAAATATAATTACCACCAATGCCCAATTCCTATCCACAATCCTTCCATTGCCTGTTTCTACACGCTCTAGGGGAATAATTGTTCTCAGTTTTATTGTACAAAGCAAGCCCTTTCTGCACAGCCACAATCAAAATTGCATTTGCTGACTCCATCTTGTTCAAAAAAACGTATTGGTGTAAACTATGTGTGTACTCGACTTTGTAATGACACAACACACATAAAAGCTGGGAGACAATCAGAAGAAAATTTAGTGCTGCACTAAAATGCTCTCGTTACAAAACCTGTATCGGGAGGTTATCAAGATGACAATGTTAGTGAGGTGGATGCACTGTGCCTGAAATATTGAGAGAACGAAGTATTCTCATGTGACCGGTTGTCCTTGTTCACCAGTGTCAAGAGCTGATATCAAGATGTAAGCGAGTCTAAAATATGATCTTATGCAGTTGCGAGCGCTGTAAAACCTCTAAAACTGACCACTTTTCTCCTCAGCAATGAATGGTCCTTAAGGACAGGAACTTGCTTTTGAGTGGGAATTTGCATTATACCAATGCTATCTATTATTATTACTGTATATATAAAATATATATTGATTGGTCATAAAGTGTCTATGGTCCCCTGCTTCTTTTGTTTTTTCCGACTGTTTGCCGCTCTGACAGTGTACAGGCAGATGTACCTACACGCTCACTAGTTCACACTAGCTTACCAAAAACAGCAACACATATATACTGTATCACCCTGGCATATAATAAACAACAACACATACTGTACCACATAGGCTGACCAAAAATGTCAACAACACAAATAAAGTATCACATAGCATTTCCAAAAACAACAACAACTCACTGTATTACACAAGCTTATCAAAAACAACAACACATATATATATAGTATCACACACACACACATATTCTGTATCACACAAAATTTACTGTAAAAAAACAACACAAATATTCACTTTATCACACAGGCTTATCAAAAACAACAACAACACAAGGAGCCTCATTTTGGTCTACTTTTTTTTTATTGTGTTCACTATTTTGGCTAACATTTGCAAAGCCCTTTCTAAATCTCGCATCTGTCTTGCACAAAGTTCTGATCTATCAGAGCATAAAATATGTAAAGATATGTATATAATATATAAAGTATATTGTAAAGTCAAATGATATAATATAAAATTTAATTATTCTAAAATTGAAGAGGAAGAGGTGATGAAAAATGCGTGTATTTAACAAGAGAGCTGGTGTATTCAAATATGTACGCTCGAACACATCCGAGCAAAAACACACACTGAAGAAATGTAAGCCAAAGTATTTCTGAATTTGTGTTTGGCAAAGGCAACAGTCCTCCCTTTCTTTTCTCCACGTACGGTTTCGAGTATTTGTGCCTCTTCTTTTAATTTCGTACTGAGTTTAACAGCATAAATTTGACAGCTTTTTTTTTTCAAGCCTATACTGTAACTGTAAGCCGTCATTTAGTGCATAGTGTGTCTGAAAAGTAAGTCGGCAGAGTTCAGTTATGCCAACTGCTGCGTGCTGGTATGTCAAGTAGAACAGAAGATCAACTCTCGGCCCGCTTGTGTGATGTCAACAGGGCAGAGAACAGCCAGCTCAATGCAGCACTTTTCTCTCCTAAGCTTCTAACATCAGAGGAAATCATTAAAAATTAAAAATATCACCGTAAAAATTTGTCGTGAATGATTTTGACCTTTACAAAATTTTGAGTGCAAATACAAGCTGTAACCAGGTGTGACCAAAACAACGATTACGAAACAACAGAACGTATCAACTGTTCTGGGTTAGTAAACTTCAGTTTTTATCAAGCATTTACTAAATGTGTATTGCTTTTTGTAGGCGTTTTTTTTTTTAAAATCACAATTCATGTCAGTCTTATCTTGTTCTACCTGAATACAGTTTCTTTGTGATGGGGAGCAGCATCAACAATAAACAATTTTGTTTAAGTTTATCACAACTGAATCAAACAGTGCATAAGTGCATAACATCGTACATAAAGCTTTGGCAGTTGGGTGGTTTTTTTGACAAACTGAAAAAAAAGACAAGAAATGGCTTGATGAAATAACAAGAGCCGGATGATGATATAATTTTGGGGAAATCTAGCAAAAACAAAGGTCGTCCAAACTGAACAAAAACTGTCGAGAAGACACACACACACAAACACGCACGTGCACACATGAACACACACAGGCGCGCTCTCACACACACACACACACACACACACACACAAACTCCTTTACAGGTGAGAGAACCAATTGTTCCATCTATGAGACTGTCTCCAAAGCACTCGGCTATAAAATAAATATAGGTACTGTGTATCATGCTACCCCTTGTCTTGTCCAATGCAATCCACGCTTAGAATATTTACCCCACGCTATAGGTACAGCCAACCGACCGCACTGCAGTCTGACTGCTATTGTAAAGTTACTGCCAAGCAAGCAAACAATAATATACAACATACAGTGACAGCTCAAACTCCACAGAAACAGTTGACTGGAGTTACTTTGTGACTTCTCTTTCAACTCCTAGCTTAAGTGGAAGACTCATCATCGTAATTTTTCCCCCTCAAACAAGGACTTTATATAAAGCTGTAATTTTGCACTTTGCTCAACATTTCCATAAGTGTACCTGTTCCCCTTCACAACAGCACACTAAAAAAAAATTTTAAATAAAAAAACACATTCTTAATAAACACCAGCCAACTTTGACTATGTACACAACTGCACGATATACATAAAATATTTAGTAATTTGTTTTGCATACTTCATAAACTGTTACAGTTACAGCGAAGAGTGAACAGAAAAGCCAACCCCACCCCTTAAATTTGATGCATTTATAACAAACTGACTTTCTCTTCTCAGTCACTATTATTTTTGCACCATTTCCAGCTCTGCCATCCAACTCCTCGACTCACACTCTGTTACTTAAATATACCGTAAAGCTAAAAAAAGAAATGACAAACACTTCAAGGTCAATTTACATCTGTACACGCAGAAATCCTTGTCTGAAGAATACATTCTGTGGCATTAGAGACCTCACATGTAATCAACTGTAAGCTGAAAAAAACACCTTTTTCATTTTGAAGAAAAAAGGCATTTTGACAGCTTACGGCAGTAATGTATTGGTCACCCTATTCTTCTTTCTTCTCCCTTTTCCCTGCAGTCACATGCACACACATCAAACCCTTTGCTCAAATCTTTTCAACGCTTAGATAGACAATTGTTTAACCGCACAACATCAGCACCTTGGAGGAAGTTTTGGGGTTAGAGTGACCCGGCACGTGTGACTTATGCCTACAACAAATACCAGAGTGTGAAAAGAGAGGATTTTTCTTTCTCCGCCTCGGCAGACAAGTTTCAACATGAGCGTTGGTGCTGGACCAAATGACAGTCTGCACAAAGCTTTCATCGCCAGCTAACCTGGGTCTCCCTTTCTGTCCCGTTCCCAGACGTTTCCCACCATCTACACGGTATCACAGAAGTTGATGAGTGCTGTATACATTGTGCTGCATTAACAAGATTTCTTTCCGTCAATGCAAGACGCCGTTCGCAATCTCTTCACACTCAAAGAAAAGCGCAACAAACAAATATAGGAAGTTAAGTTGGATGCATAGCAGTCTAAGAAAAATTAACAAAGCTCAATACGAAAAAAAAAATTCAATCAATTATGTAAGTGGTGAAAAATTAACACAGTCCTTTAATCCAAAAGGGGCAGTCCCCTTCATTACTAGATACACTGTTTCATAACATACTGGCTGACACATCATAAGTAAGGCCTGGCTGAAATTAGGAAAACAGCACAAAAATCTTAGAAACGGTTTGAGTACTCTGCAAATGCATCAAGCTTTGCTTTTAATTCCAAAGTCTTTCAGCTTCTGTTTATTCCATAGACCTTCGTTTTTCAAAGAAACTTGTTTGTTTTGTTTCAAAGTTTCAAAGACCAGACTTCTGTAAAGAACTTTGTTTTCTGTCTGCCTTAGCTTCGCCAGTCAGGTGAGGAAGCAGACGGTCCCACAAATTGTTTGCGTCCTGCGTTCTACACTTGTACGTGGCCAGCGAGATTGGAACCAGAGAAAAACAAGGAAGTGCAAAGTACATTCTGACTAAGTGACCCATGAGACCACTAGTGTCTAGCTGCGGCCGCAGTCAGGGCACACAATGTCCTCGCCGTTCATGAGGAAGCCGCGGCCGACCATGCTGGCCTCGCACTTGTAGCAGTTGAAGCAGTCGCTGTGCCAGTGACGGTCCTCGAAGGAGATGAACTTTGTGCCACCGATACCTGGGGGAAAAGTAGCGAGTAGTTGAGTAAGTAAGTGCACGTCAGTCACAAAGACCTGAAGAAAGAATCAGTGCGTTGAATTAATGCACGTCAGTTACACAGATGGGAGGCAATAAGTGTTTGTGAAAGTGATCCCAATCTTCCATCAATCATTATGTGTGAGGCATGGTGATGAAATCAGGTGCTCCTCAAAATAATCAAATCAAAGAAAACAGCATTTTTCTGGTTGTTGGGCAATTTTTTTTTAAATCTCTTTTTATTGGCTCAACACCTTTTATGTCCATTTACAAACACATTCCTGCATTTGTATTACTGAAAAACATTGATCAAAAGCACAAAGCTGGAATGTTGTATCCCTCTCAGCCTGGGCTGGCCCTGATAAGCAGTTTCGAAAGCCTGCCTCCTAAATTATCTAAATTGTGTTGATGGAGGGTGTTAAAAATTACCTCCATTAAATAGAATTTGAAAATGAAAAAATGAAAAAAAATGAAAAAAAAACTCAGGAGACATGGCACTGACCGGTGATGGGCTTGGTGCAACGACAGCAGCGCTTGGCGAAGAGTTCCCCGTAGCAGTCGCCACAGAACGGCTGCTCCTCCTTGGAGGTGAATTTCTCCCCGGCCAGCAGCTTGTTGCAGTTTGTGCAGGTGAAACACTCGCGGTGCCACGGCGTGTTCTTGTAGCTGATGCCTCCCTTGTTGATCACCTGAAACCACAGGAGGGGGA